GAAAATGGATGGATGGATGGATGGATATCTTGATACTGCCTTCTTTATAATCAGTATTGTGACACATTCAATATTTTATCCAAATCTGACTCAGGTCTTTTTTGGACTCCAATCAGACTCGAGTCATTCATAGTATGACTTTGACTTTGCTTGAAAAACATTCATAGACTTGTGACTTGGACTTAACCCATTTACTTGAAAATACTTGCTGTTTTAAATCCAAAGTTTCAAACACAACATTTATAAAGTGTCCCCCCTCATTAATTAATTTCACTCATTCCAAATTAACAAACACAGACCATCCCTCTGTTTTTCCACACTCTGCATGTGTGTGCGTGAGCTGCAGCACAGCCATTCAAAATTAAACAGTCAACAAACAGAAAACAAWCTCACGCTAAAGACAAATATGCTCCCAAGAGTAATTTATTTTGGGTACGTGAACAACAAAGTTCTCAATAAAGAACGACAATAAAACATCTTTTGCAAATGCAATGCAGAATAACTAACTGAAACTAGACATGGGTTTTTACGATGTAAAAACAAGTGTGCATTGCCATGTAGCATGTCACTGCAGCATGGCTTTACCTGCAGCATTGGACTTGCAGAATGAAATGGGACCAAGTTCAAATGTGTTTTCTATACCAGCTTGTGGCTATCATGTGAGCAGGTGCTTGTAATTAAGGTAGTTGTGTGACAATATGAAGTTTGAAGAGATTTTTTTTTGTTAAAGTTGCTTTAGCTGGGTTTTGAACCCTGATCTTCCCACATGATAGTCCATGACCTAATTTCCCTCTGGGATCAATAAAGTATTTTTGAATTGAATTGAATTGAATGACATAGACCATTAGACTGTTGGAGCTGTGGCAGGGTGTGGTGCCAGGGGTCGGATTCTGTGTGTGCAGAAAGAGGCYGCATTGCCAATACAATTATTGATACTAAACTGCATAATATTACAACAATAGAGCAGTATTAAGACAATGATATAGTAAAACATCAAAATACAATCATATTAGTATTGTAAACACTGAGTTATTGAGATTAAATATTAAAAAACTATGGTTCAGTACCAAGTTGATTACAGCTGGGAGCAGTATTGGACCATTACAAGACCCCATTGACTGTCATTATATGAATTTGGAATAAAGTTTAAACAGTAATATTTCAAAAACGACAAGTTGTACAGGTACCAAAAGGCATAGCAATCATTTGGCACAGGACCTTTACATATAGAAATTACAATGGCAGCTGTANCTCCCCGACTGTTACTTTTTTTTTTTTTTTTTTTTTAACATCCCTGCTTACGTTCGCCCTGGCACCCGCTTTTATTTCCGCATTCCCAAATCCTTCCAGATTGGGATCCCGTTGAAAAAAAGTCGGGCTGATGCAACGATTCCCACTTTTTAAAATCTACTCTCGACCGTCGGCTGAGCAGAAAAAAGGACATTTGTTGCACCTGGGATCCAAGTCAGGTCGGTAAACAAATAAAGAAACTTCCGACAGTTTTGATCATCCTGAAGCGGATTGGCTGCAGCTCCTCCTCCTCCTCCTCTTCTTCTTCTCTCGCTTTTGTTGCTTTCTTTGAATCATCCTCGAGGTAAAGCTGCCTTGTAGATCTTGCTGCAGAGAGAAATAAATAAACGTGTTTTTCTTTTCCCCTCCTTTCTTTTGCTTGCTTAGACATCATGTTCCTTGGCTCTTTTCACATGAATCACTGCGTGAAGAAATCAGAACAAAATGTTCTCGTTTAGTCCATCGAGGCTGCGCAGTCATCCTCTACATTAATATTAAYAACAACAAGACTCGAATTCAAGTTAAAATATCCAAAAAGACCCTAACATTTGATATCTGTGGGTCTCTAGTGGACAGAAAGTTACGTAAGACGGATACCACACTTAAAAAAAAAACAGACTTCCGCTTTCAGGTTGAGCAATTCAGCTGCAGATGACTGCACACGTTTTAAGAAAGACAGTAAACACATCCAAGTCAAAAACACTAAGATAAGCAGAGATGTTTGATCTGGAACKTTAAAGCATAGTTATTATTATGAAATGAAGTTTAAAAGGCTTAAAATCACACAAGCAAGCTATAAGGTGAAATTTGAAAATGTTCACTCCTGTAAATTTTCAGCTGCAGTAAGGAACACCGTGTGACGTCATGATCACGTGATTCAAAACTATGACTGGAGGGCAGAAAGTCATGTTTTACACAAGGTTATGTCCACTGCAGGCAAAAGAGATTTAAATCCTTTATTTTTGCCCACATGCAACCCTTAATTGATTTTTTATTACAGTCTAAATT